AAAAAAAAAAAAGATAATAGGAAACAGGAAGATGGATCTTTTGCAAAAGGGAAAGGGGACTGAGAAATGAAAGGAGCTGGGGAGGAGAATGGGTAGGGAAGTGGGAAGAGCTCAGATGTGCTGTGTACACGGACAGACTCGCAGAAAGGCTGTAATCATTATGCACTGCCAGTGTGTACCAGTGAAACATAGTAAGATAAAACTTACAAGATATGAATCGCCAAAACTGAAATAAAATCAAAGATTTAATTCTTTGGTTGTTCTTGCCACTGGGAGAGGTGCACAGTGCTGGAAACTCCCAGAACCGGAGGGTGTGGAGGTTTCTGCCAGGAGAACACTCCACTGGCCTGCATAGATCCAGTCTGTGCTCCCCCTCGCCTGGTGCTATCTCACGCACAGTTTCCCTTGTTATCGCTCTCTAAAACCCACTCTCTCTGCCAGATACAGATGCTCTGAGATGTGCTTAGCTCGTCTTGCATTGGAGGAGCTGAGATTGCTTCCAAGTGTTTCCTGCTTTAAGCAATTCTCCGGTGAGCACCCATGAGCAACTATTTCCACTCCTGTATTTATTACTGTGGACTAAATATCTGTCTGCCAGTGAGATGACGGGGCCAAAAGAACATGAACTTTTAAAAGGATCTTGATAGATACCCCCAAGCACACCCTCAGAATATTCTATCATTTTGCTATTAGTTCTGATTATCAGGTCTCCAAACTAGACTCCTGCCTGCCCAGCTGGGAGAGAAAAACTCCCCCAGCAGATCCGCTACTCACACCTTTGGGAGGGTGGCATTCCTGCCAACCTGAGAAGAAATGCACTACCATGTTTATCATAGCTCTGTCATTATCAGGGACACTTCAGACATTTTAAAGGCTCCTGGCTCCGTTTTATCTGTTCATATAAATGATTTTGTAAAATGAAACATGTATTGAAGCGTGTGCTGAGCAAAGAGCTTGTGCTCACCGGTTGAGAGGTGAGGAGGTGGCCCAGAGCCTGCCTGGGCATGGAAGCCATGCTGAGCTGAACAGAGGCCCAGTAAATACGTGCAAGTCTTGGCTGAATCCGTGATAAACGTGTGCTTCTTCCCAGTGAGGCTGCTGGTGATGGTGAATTTTTTTCTCTGGAGGAAGCAAACAGATAGGTTGGTACATGGCCCATGTCACCCGTCAACTGGAACACAGGAGTGCGGAGTAATGGCACACATACGCTTTAGCAGGGAGTGCTGCTGTGCTTTCACACAGGCTTGAAGGGCTTGTGTTAAGTCCATTCATTAAATATTTGTATACAACTAAGTCACAAACCTAATAACTATAGCAAATCTGAAGAGGAGGAGGAAGAATCATTCGCACACACACAGAGCACAGGAACTCTCAACAGATTGTTCCCTAGAGACACACTAGCACCCTGAGGAACTAAGGCCAGACAGTGGCACAGAGTTAAAAACAGAGCAAGGCATGGGGCACACACCTGTAACCCCCACTCAGGAGGCTGGGGCAGGGCGATTGCCGCAAGGTGAAGAGGGGCTCAGGCTACCCAGTGAGTTCTGGGTCAGTCTGAGCTACACAGTGAGACCCTGTCTATAAGTAAATAAAGCAAGCTGAAAATGGCACTTATGGTGGACTTGGCTTCTCTCTAGCACCACTAGGATACATCACTTAATGGCAAACTCAGATCTGCGGGCAAACTTCCTCACAAGCAACATGCTGCTTTGTGAAAAAGATGATGCGGCACTCCGGACAGGGTTCATGGCACACACTTGTGCAAATCTCTCCCATGCCCCATAGCTGCAGCATAGTCATCCCTGCCACTTCTGTAAAGCTATGAATCACCACTTTATCACTTTTTGTAGCTCATCCCCAGCAGTTTTACCACTAGTGTCTGTCTGTCTGTCTTGATGCATCTCTGCAGCACAGAGGTGCTCCTCGGGGCAGAGGCAGATTTGCCTGGAGCTGATGCAGCAGTCTTTCCTGGGATCCTGGCAAGCTGTGCCCATGTTCTTGTGAAATGTGGGGAGGAAAACACGCTCACCATGGTCATAGAAACTGACCATGCGCTACCGTACCCAGCCCCTAGGGGGAGATAAAGAAGCAGTACTTGTCTGGGACAAACATAGGCAATCATCAGAGATGAAATCTGTCCTTTTGTTCTCAAGAGCACCTGAGCGAGTGAGGTTCTGTCCTGCCAGTGATCTGCTCTGTAATTGAACATATCTCAATATCAATATACTACACAGTATTTTTCCTCTTTCTAATGAGACTCATGCAAAATAGATGTTAGATTTCTTGCATTTGGGGCTGGAGGTGTAACTCAGTGATAGAGCACTTGCCTACTACCTTGAGTTCTACTCCCAGAAACACACCAACACACAAATAGTTTTTAAAGATGTCCTTACCCCAGAAAGAATGGACATAACCAAAAAGTCAAATTATCACAAACACTGATGAAACTATAGGGAAAAAGGGGCACTTCTACTTTGTTGAAGGGAGTATAAACTAATACAGTCACTATAAAAATTAGTATGGAGATTGTTTTAAAAATTAAAAATTCCAGGGCCAGCAAGCTAGCTCAGCAGACTAAGCACCTGCTTAGGCAAGTGTAGGAACTGAGGTTCCAACCCCAGTCCCACATGCTGCACTGGCCCCGCCCCCAGGAGCACTGAGCCGACCAAGTCTCCGCGTGGTGGGGTACAGCTGTAATCCCAGTGCTGAGGAGGCTGACAACAGGAGGATCACTGTGAGTCCGAGCTATGCAGTGAGACCCTGTACCAAGTACATAAATTTTTAAAAAATAAAATAAAAATTCCACTGGACCCAGCTATTTCTTTTCTTTAGAGAAGTATCTTCCTTAAAGAGTTAGAGACATCACACTGCAGTGACGCATGCATCTGCATGTTTATAGCAGCACCATTCATGAAAGCTAAAGCATAGAAGCACCTTGTATGTCCATTAGCAGATGAGTGGATGAGGAAATTGTGGTATTTATACATGATGGAGTACTATAAAGAAAGATAAATTCGAGTCACTTGTAGGCAGCTGGATGCACCTTGAGGTCACAGTGGAAAGTAAAATAAATCAGTCACACAAGCTGACCCTTTTGCATGAGCAAGCCAAATTGTAAATAAAGAGCAAAACAATTAATAGAAAGTAAGGAGATAGATTTTTGTCAAATGAGAAAGGGATGAAGAGATGGAGGGAGGCAAAGGAGAAGGGATGAAGAAGCAATTACACATGTTACACGCACAGCCAAACTCCACACAAGGAGGGCAAACACTATGTACCCCAAACATGGACTAATAACAACAAGGGGCCCTGCATCTGTAGCAAAGAAGCCTGCAGCCAGTGCTATGAAGAGCGAGAATCTGTGAACGAAGCTTCGTGCTTTCTGCCTGCTCTCCACAATCAACCAAACTTCAAGCAACCACATGAGAAGACTGAGTTGTGTTTCTATTCTCCCTGCAGGAAATTTTTTTTACTTTTTTTTAGTTTTAAAGGAAAGGACAACTTGGATGGAGAAAGGAGAAAATTTTATTACAAAAGTATTTCTCATGAAGAAAACAACCAAAGAGTATACCATCAAAATTTTGAAAAAAAAAAAAAGCAAAATAAATAAGAAAATTATTTTCTGGCTGTTGTGATGGGTACAGTATTCATTTGGTTTTTAAAATCCTAAATCATACCTTTTTTTCTCTCGCTGTAAATAAATATTCTTTTTCACATGGAAGTTTGTACCTGTAACTTTGTATCTTTTTTGTGTTGTTCAGTGCTGGGAATTGAAGCCAGGGCCCTAACACTGAGTTTCATCCCCAGCTATTTTTGTCTTTTATTTTTGACACCAGGTCTCTATATGTCACTAAGCTACCCATGCAGAGCTAGCACTTGTCATCCTCCTGCCTCAGTACTCTTCCTCTTAAATACGATCCCTCATAGCCTGTGTCTCCTCTGCTCCCTGCATTTCTCTCTGGAGATTTTAACCAGTGCTAACAACCGAGACCGATCACCAACATAGCTGGGCTCCTTACTCCAGAAGGAGTACCTCTTGGCTGAATAATCAAACTGTGTATCACTTCTGCAGATGCCAGAACACCTAAAAATCACATTGTTTGAAGAAGGCCTCTTCCCCTCTGTCCTGGGCTGCTTCTGGGTAGGCTGTCAAAAGGAATGGCTGTGAGTATTGGAAGCGTCTTGGCTTCAGCTACGGATAAACAAAATTGAAACCAGCTTCCGGCGCTAATTCTCCTGTGACTCACAGGACTGCCGATTTTGTGCTTGCGGAAGTATAACAAGTGAGAGTGGCTTCCTAGGGCTGCTGCCCAGTCAGTGCAGAGCCATTGGCGACAGGACTCTGTGGGGTGAAAGATCCATAATACAAGCCACTCACACCAAGGAAAAAGCTGATCATCGGGGGAGGGAAAGCCTAATTAAATAGCTCTTGTAGGCACTGCATCTGCCTTGTCAACAAGTTTGCTTCCCAGCTTTAATCAAGAAATTCTCTTTGGGGGCAAGGAAAATAAGTATCTGTAAAAATTAAACTAACTTATATGAAAAGCACTTACATAATGGGACTATTGAACTTTACAGCTTTAAAAAATTGTATTTTTAAAAATTACTATATGAGGTATCTGCATTTTTATGAATGTTTTAAACAAATTATATTAAAATTTTCAACTATGTAGCATATAGCAAAGAAAACAAGAAATAATACAGTAAGATTGAATTCTTCCAATATTCAAATTCTTGAAATCTTTTAATTATAGTAATTCAAATAAATAAAAGTCTGAAAAATTCATGAACATAAATATTGTGTATATTATTTGTTACACAAAAAAGTCTGCTAAAAATGTCAGTTTCCTGATAATATCCAGGCCACTTTAATAAACTCAAATGATGTTCAATTGTTATCTATTTTTAGATGTAACCTTTCTTTCTTTGAAGACAAATGAGAATATTGTGAAATTCCATTGCAAATCATACTTTCACAGTATATTAACTTAAAAAGCCAGGACAGAAAACACAAAAGAGAAACATTCAGAGAATGAATAAAAACAGCTGCACTCTGCTTTGGACAGTAAATCAGACAATAATAAAAATAGTGATCTAGTTAGTAGAAAAAAATTAAATAAGAGAATTAAATGGAAATAAAAATTAAATTTTCCCACTGGCACAAGTCAGCGAACTTTGTCTTAAAATCATCACTGAATACGTATATGTACCAACTCCCCCACAAAGAGTGTGCAATCATTGTGTGCTGCAAACATGGACTAACAAAAATAAAAAGTAAAAATTAAGGCACTAGTGACCATGCCACCGAAGGGCCCGCTGCAGCCCACGCAAGTCCTTGGTTGCAAGAAGACAGACAGCCACAGCTGTGGCACACTGCAAGTGGGGCAATGGCCTCATCGAGGTGAACAGGCGTCCCCTGGAGATGACCAAGCTGTGCAAGCCGCTATATGAGTTTCAGGAGCCTGTTCTGCTGCTGGGCAAGGAGCAGTTTGCTGGTGTTGACGTCTGTGTCCGTGTGAAGGGTGGTGGTCATGTTGCCCAGATCTATGCTACTATCACTCCATATCCAAAGCCCTGGTGGCCTATTACCAGAAATAAGTTGATGAGGCTTCCAAGAAAGAGATCAAAGATATTCTCATCCACTACAACTGGACCCTGTTGGTAGCTGACCCCTGTTGCTGTGAATCCAAAAAATTTGGAAGCCCTGGTACCGGTGCTCATTACCAGAAATCCTACTGAAAAGCTCACATAAGAGTCACCATTGGCCTTTGTAATAAGCATGGGATTTTGAGGCTGCAAGGACCATGACTGTGTAATGGTCTATGCTAGTGGGTCTCTGATTAGATGGGGAAAAAAAGGCCTGCAGCCCATTGCCAGTCTTGATTTTGGCCCTTCCAGAAGGGTGGGTGTAGGTGGCAGGTGGCACCTGGCCCAGCCAAGCTGGCAGTGGCTATGGGCAATTGGTGGCTATCAAGGATGCAAGATGTTCAAGTTTGCATACCCCAGCTCATCTTAAATGTCATCTGATTGGCTTGTGGTGGGGATTGGCTATGCCTTCATATTGAACTATGTTCTCAGCCAAAAATTTAAAAAAACTAAAAATTAAATAATCAGTGAAGGA